AACAGTGGGCGTCGAAATCTTCAACCAGTTTCCTCTGGAGCCACTCTGGATCTGGGGAGCATTTTGACATCGTAGGGCTGTGTCTTGGGAGAGGGTTTTGTACCTCAGAGCTGGCTGGTGCCACGTCAGCTGTGTCGAAAGCATCCCTGACAAGAAGAGGAAAAGAAAAACTCAGTACAGAGTTGGCGTTTCAGCTCTAAGTGAGGTTAACAAAGTATACACTTTTTGTTTGGTTTCGTTCTGGAGTGGTGGTGGAGATTTGAGGCTGCCAACAACACCCTAAAACCTCATTCCTCAATTTTGTTATTTGTGGTGTCAGCCAGGGCAACATTTGCTTTGTGTTTCCGAACCACAGGAAAAGCGGTCGCTGCCAGTTGTGGTGCTGGTGGTTTTGCCTGGGTCTCCCCCCAGCCACTGCGGGAGCATAAATAGCGTTGTATGTGTGTATGTTACTTAGTGTTTATTGCTCTCTGCCAGGTGAAACGGGCACCCCTGCAGCTCAGGGAGCTCCAGCATGCCGGGTTGGGCTTTTTGCCCTCCTGAATCGGGTGTCTCAGGGTCTGGACACATTGGGGTGGTCTGAGGCAGTAGCATGAGCCAGCCCAAGCGCCGGCAGGCATGGGTTTGGAGTGCCTGTCCTCCGGGATCCCGTGTGCGGCTGAGAGCCAGCAGGAGCCAGCATGTGCCTGGGGAGAGGAGCTGTGGCTTCATGTGCCAGAGCACCTGCCAGAGACTTCTGAGCCCCCTCGGCGCTGTGGGTGGTGTGTGAATTTAGCTTTCTGCTTGGCAGTGGGTGTGAAGAGACTGTGAATTCTCATCAGCACTTTCATTACCTTAATAAAATTACTTTAGGTCTGTCAAGTTCTTTTGCAGAAAAAATAAGACATAATTGCATGTTTCGTTAACCTTCTTCTGCCCCTGAGCCCCAAAAGAGCTCAGCCCCTGGGTTTCGTGTCCATGGCCATTTGTGAAATCCACATCGAGGGTCTACGGGGTCTTCTCCACCAGCCTAGACCAGGTGCCACTGGTGAAGGGCTGGAAAACTCTGCTTGGCACGGACCTTCCATCAGGATGGCTCCTTTCCCTCTTTTATCCTCTTCACTTTGACAGGTACTAAGGAGTTATTCAGAGCTCTGGTCCTTTTTGAATGTTACATTGTCAAAGCATTTCTTCTATAAGAGGCAAGTTCTTACCTAAACTCACCCACTCTACAAAAATAGCGGTGATAATTAGCCTGAAATGAGGAGATTAAGAACTGGCATTCGTTTTACCCCATGGCTGCCGTTTGCCAAGGTTTTTGCAGTGTTATCCACTGTGTCTTACGCTCTCCTTTGCCCTCGCTCTTACGTTGCAGGCTCTGTTTAAGTACTTTCAGCTCTGCACACGCTTGGGAGTTGTCCCTTTCAGGCCTGGACGGTCACCATTTGGAGTCAGCAGCGACATGTGGACCAGCACAGTCCAGATTTAGCACTGTCTGGGCTAATCAAGAGTTTATTTCAGTACATGCTTTGATTTGAAACTTAGATTTTTACCATAGAGAGTCTCCGCTGTGAAGGGATAAATTGGGGAAGGTCTTCCTTGTAATTTGGTCAGGGGTCAAAGATCCAGCCAGCCCTGGGATGGCTCATTGACACAGGAGATACAAGGGCTTTAGAGATCGAGAGAAAATGGCCTGGAAGCAAGTTGATGTTTGACATTACTGGAGGGTTTTGGAGAAGATGGCTTAATTAGTGGGTTAATCACATCTTAAATTCCCTAAAGATCCCTGCAGTAGAGACGGAGGCCACCCCTACAGCAGGTTTAGGGAGTGTTCCATAATATAATGGAGTGGTACCTCCTAGCTGGAATATGGAAGCCCCCTGACAAGCATAATTTCTTGTCACAGAATCATAGAACAATTCAGGTTGGAAAAGACCCTGGGGATCATCGAGTCCAACCATTGACCCTACACTACAAGTTCACCCCTAAACCATATCACCCAACACCACATCCAAGCGACACTTAAACACATCCAGGGATGGCGACTCAACCACCTCCCTAACAGCTGTTAGCTGTTGTCCTCTAACAGCTCCTGGCATGGCTCTAATAATTGGCTCCACCTCAAATCAAGGTGGAGCTGCACCCTCTGGTAACCAAAGTTGATAGCAACGTTACTTGTGCCTGACATTGAGGAAAAGTTGCTGCCAGAGAGATCCTTAGATCCTTCCTTTGCTCTTCAGCTGCTGCCTGCCTGGTACTGTGGAAAGATCCTGCCCTCTGAGCACATGGAGTCTGGAAACATTGCAGATAAGCAGAACGTAAGGGCTGCGGTGGGAGAACAGCGTGGGGCAGAGGGGGGTTCTCTGGGCTGGCACCGGGTGTTGGAGCTGTTGTATGTCTCTAGGTGCAGCTGCAGGATAGGAATGAGAGACTTCACTGGCCTGGAGACCTGCAGGACAGGACAGGGAAGCTGTTTGGCTTCAAACCTGATTTGTCAGCCAGAACAGCCTTCAGTGAAGAGGAAAAACTGAAGGTAAAATCAAACACTTTGGGAGTTGGAGAGAAATGAGCTGTGAAGCCATACGATGCCTGTAGATCTACAGTGGAAAATGTGGTGGGAAACGTTGGGTCTTCTTTCTAGGGGTGGGTGTGTTGTGCTCAAATTCCCCAGTATGACCTGTGGAAACAGTACCTTGGCCTCAGAATCAGCCCGTGGCCTCTATAATGTCCTTTCTCTGTCCTAGATTTCCAAAGACCTTATTGATCTTGAGATCGAGACAAATAAAATGAAGGAGCAGTATGAGATGGAGAACTTTGAGCTGAAAAAAATGGTATGCAAAAGTTGGAAGTATCTGGTTTCAGCTCTGCTGATGCCTTTATCCAGTTACATGTCCATCTTCTTTTTGCCTGGCAAGTTCTCCTGGCTGTAACTAGAGTAATGGACTCCCCTAGATGCCCCAGATGCTGTGAAACTCATGTCTCTTTATGTCAAAGCATGCCAGAACCTGTCTGGCTAAATACATGCCCTGTGATCGCTGCTGCTCTCTGCTACAGGCTAATTCTGCAGCATCCTCTCTGCAGCTCCTGGCCCTGGAGAAGCGTGTGCTGGAGCTGGAGCTCAGCAGTGAGAAAGTCACTGGGGAGCGAGATGGCTTACGGGAGCGCCTGCGTGCTCTGGAGACTGGTCGGAAGGAGCTGGCAGACGAGTATATCGTTTTGAAAAGCAATTACCTGGCCCTGGGCAAAGAACTGGACCAAGAGGTGAGAGAGACTGCAGTGTTCGTTTTGGTGTTCTTGGCTCCATCTTACAATGACCTGATCTACAGACAGCTCAGGTCCGATGGAGGTTTGTCAGCTGTGAGATGGCATGGCTTGGGCACAGTTTTGTTTCCAGGGCACAAAGATTTCAGGTGATGTGATCACTTTCTAGCAGGGCTTGTAGGATCTGCTCTACTCAGTGGGGACAGCGCTGAGCCCACGCTGACCCGGGTGGTCTTCTGGGCACCCCACTGTCAGAGTCTTTCTCTTCTCACGCCGTCCCACGTCCCTGTGACTAGCAGTAACCAGGAGGTCACTGCCGGGCTGGTCTGAGTGCACGTCGCAGGTCCCTCTTGACCGCCAGTGCGCTTTGTTTCCCTTTTTTTTCCGCATGGCTTGCACAAGCTGCACGTGAACGGATTGTAGTCGCTCTCATTTCATGGGGCGGCGGGAAAGGGGCCCGGAAGTTTTTGAGGTCGGCGAGTTTTTAAAAACACTGAATGTAAGCAAGTTTCTGATTGTCCCTTAAAACACATCAAACTTTCTGGCGACTGTTGGCTTAGCAATTATTAACTGAAGTGGTTTGGACCCAGATTTGTCTATTTCTTCAACAAGAATGGCTACTTCAACAGACCTTCCTCTCTTCCTTCCCCCTCCCCTATCTCGTGTCTTCTTTTTGAAATGGATTGAATGACTGACAGGCTTCTGCCTCTCTCCCCTGGCAGATAATTTATCTGATTTGGCCAAATGGCCTGATTTACTGAGCAGAGCTGTGACGGGAAGGTGCGGGGCCGGGCCCAGACACGCTCGTTTCAGCAGCGCCCATGCCACCTTTACAGTGAGCAGAGCTCCGGTAGAGGAGGATACGAGCTCGTGATCATCTCCTTGCAAAGAAGTGAGTTAGCAGCTCTGGCGAAGCTATCATTTTTTTCTCCCGTAAACTGAGAAATGGAAATTTCTTCGGAGGAGGCAAGCTCAGCTGCCTGCAGGGGTGTGAACCTACGCTGTCGTCCTGCCGCGGCACGAGGCAGAGCGCATGCAGCGAGGCGGCACGCTGCTGAGCTGCGGCACTGCCGGGCTGGTGGGGGAACAGCTCAGCGTTCAGCGGGCTCATCCCCAAGGGGGTGCAACGCGTTCGTCAAAAATGGGATTTTTCAGATGGCTGGCATCTCAAAGTGACAGGTCGAGCAGGTTAGCGGTAATAATGCGCTGTTTTCACATGGATCCTGGAGTGTTTCAAAGGGCGAAAGGACACAGATTTGGTTATGTGTCCAGATAGCATCTTGATGAAGTGATGGAGCAGGGTCCAGAAGGCAAAGGTGAACTCCTCAGTTGAGGTTTTTACCCTAGTTTCTTGGCTCTGACTACTGAATATCCCTGCCTGAAGCACGAGAGGCTCCAACTTGGCAGGCTGGGACTCATCGTGGCGTGGGCCTCTTGCTCATTATTTTCCCAGTGTGGACTTTCCCAAAGGAAATGGGAAAAGCAGCCTGCGGTTCTGCCCCCTCCCCTTCCCCGGCGCTCTTCTTGGGGACACAATGAACCTTTTACACATTCCCAATTACAAGTGCTACTTGTGACCTTGCCAATATGTTGTCATGGCTGCTCGGCGCAGAAGCAGCTCGGCGAGCTCATTCACAGCCCCTTGTTACGGGAACAGTCGGAGCCCCTGAATTGTGGTGCTCCCATTGTACGGCTCGATTCACACATCACCCTGTGTCTGTCCCCAGCAGAGGAACGCAGTGGAGCTGGCCTCGCCTGTCCCTGGGGAAGCGCCTTCCAGAAGATGCCAGTCAGGCACTTTGTGCCTGTTTTTCTAACTGGCTGTAAATTCTTCCTTTTCAAGGCTCTGACCTTTCCTCAACTCTCCGCTTCCTCCTCCTCT